TAAATAGTCCAAAAATGTATCCACAATTTTATTTTTAAAATATAAATTTTAAATAAAAATTTAATATTTTATATAAATAATTATTAAAAAAAATTAATCAAACAAAAATACTTAATAAAAACTATATATATAATTTTCAATTATTATTTATATAAATTGTAAAATTTTTAACTAAAATTTATATTTTAAGAATTAAAAAAATCAAATGACATCTATTATTATTAATAATATAGGGTGTTAATGTACCACTTGTGTAATGTATACAGATTACAGAACCCATACACAACCGTCAATATCCATTACCCAAACAACGGTTGTTCCATTCCTTTCGAAGCGCTCTGTCTCACCGTCTGTTTGTCTTCGCTCTCAAGCAAATTCCAATTAACAAAACAAATCTTTATCGATTCCGTTCCTGATTGACGATTCGTCGGCAGCATAAAGATGCTATGTTATTCGCGATCAGTACAGAGATGATGATCGGGGCTGTGCAATTAGGTGTGGTGGCGGCGTGCATCGTCCTCTTGGTGCCCATGGCAATGGCCGGATGGCATTTGAGCAGAAACAAGATGCTCTTCTTCAGTGGAGTCCTGTTCATCTCTCTCGCGGTATGTGTCCATTTGACTCCCTATTTCCCTGCCGTTTCTGATCTGGTAACTTCCGTTTCATCCATTGTTGTGTTCGATCATCGCGTTTCTTGTATTAATTCGGTTAATGAGATTGTATGGGATGTGAAGCCCAAGATTCATGTTCAAATCGGTGATGCAAATTCTAGTTCTGATTACTATGATAAAAATTGGGATTGGGCAAAAACGAGTAAAGTCAGTGCTTGTGATTTTCAGAAATTGAGTAAATCGGATGCATCAGATTTGCTGAACGGATCGTGGGTTGTTGTCTCCGGTGATTCACAAGCCCGATTAGTTGCATTGTCGTTGTTAAATTTGGTTCTGGGTTCGGATTCCACGCGCATGGAGTCGGTTAGATGTGATTTGTTTAAGAGGCACAGTGATTATAACATTTTTGTGGATGAGATTGGTATGAAATTGGATTTTATCTGGGCTCCTTATGTCACCAATTTTACTAGTTTAATAAGGGAATACAAGCGAAAAAAGAGTTACCCTGATGTTATGGTGATGGGGGCAGGGCTATGGCATATGCTTCATTTCACCAATGCATCGGATTATAATGATGATTTACGAATTTTAAGGAATTCTGTGGTGTCATTCTTACCATTTTCGTCAGATTTAGGCACCAATGGACCTGTCACTGGTTCTGAATCCATTAGGTCACCACATTTGTTTTGGCTTGGGATGCCAGTGTTGATAAATAGCATGCTGAATACACAGGAGAAGAGGGAGAAGATGGGTGACGCAATGTGGCATGCTTATGACAGAGCTCTTGGATACAGTAGGTTATTGCGCCAAACCGGTGGCCCTCTTGTATTGCTTGATATTGAGTCATTGACTTGGAATTGTGGGCCACGGTGCACAGCTGATGGTATGCATTATGATGTAGCTGTTTATGAAGCTGCAGTTCATGTAATGTTAAATACATTGCTTATTGAGTCACATCAGAAGCTTTGAAGGGAATGGTTAAAGTTTTTCTGAATTCTGTGGAGTTTTTCTTGGAATACGCTCAAGGTTAAATACTGAATTCCAAGCATTTGACTCTTGGGAGTGGCTCCAACCATCTAGCATCTTGAATTCTTGCCAGGTTTTTGGTTTTCCCCTTTTCTCTAGACTAGATTGTCTCACAAGTAAAATTTTTCTAAGTTAGACACAGATAAAAGTTGATTTTTTTCCTTTCCAAATGTCTGAATACCAAATACTCTTTGTGGATGAATTCTTGTCCAATAACATTGTATGATTCACATTCAATTTTAATGTGAGGAAGTATGAGGATTCTGTACAATAGTAGAGTCTGGATATACACTTTCTGCCATTTATAGAATCACTGAGGAACCTGTTGATTCAATTCTATTGATTTAGTGCCATATCTTTCTATGAAAGTTTACCAAACTCAGAAATTTAGCTGAAAAAATTATGTAAAATAATTAAATTAAAGTTTCGTTGAAGGTTTTCTTGAAGCACAGTTGGAGTAGAGCTTTTGTAGAAGTGTGGAACAATGAAATTATATAAAATAATTATAAATAATTTTATAAGCTTATAAAAGTTTATCAAACTCAAAGTTTAGCTAAAAAATCTCTTATTTCACAAGCTACAAATTTTTAGCTTTAGCTTCTAGCCCTCTTCCAGTTGAATTTAGCTTGTAGAAAAGCCAGCAGTGCTTTTAAGAAAATTGTGTTTGACTAGTTTGTGCTTTCTGGAGTAGAGAAGCTTTTCCAGAAGCAGGTCAAAATGGGAACTTAAGCTTCTTTTTCTTTGACATTGGACCTTTATTTCTGAGCTATTTTTCTGACATCCAGTTCATTGTAATGAAGAAGTTGTTTGCCACAAATGTTTGATGGTTGGGCTGTATAAATCAAACTTACTGGTAATAACTTGAGATCAACTTGATGCTATCTTATTTATATTTGTTCAATTATGCTAATGAACAACTAGGAGCACAATTTTTAGATGTGCCTAGGAAACTCTGTTAGTAACAAAGTCTATAAGAATATTTAATTAAAGTAGTAAACTAAATGTTAGATATTTTTTGATGGAAACTAAATCTTAGATATCAATGTAGGTGTTCTGTACTCTTTGCGAAGCCTTTAGGCCTACCAGCTGGGAGCAGGCATGTTTCTAAACCCAGAGAGGGGAAACTAGGCAAATTTTAAGAATGACAACTGTCAACTATAATTGAAGAAACTAGCAGTCATTAGACACTTGAAATCAATAGTCATTACAATAATATGTTTCCTGATTTGAGATTGAATTAAGTTATCTTGTTTCTAGTTACTGCATGAAATATAGTACATGTGGTAATAACCTTTTAGTTTGTTGGATAAGTTCATGATATGATGTTCTTTTCCTTCGTCCTGTCTGTATTTGTATGTATCAGGTTATACACCTTGGGGGAGGGGGTACAGACAACTTCATATATTTGTATAGACTTGATTAAAATATGCTATCAGGATAATCATATCTGGGGATAGATAAACCTACCCTTGTTGGTAATTTAGTACCTGTTAAACTTGCCTGAAGGCTCTCTGGAAAAACATTTGCATCTAGACTATTGCACCGCTATGGTATATGGAGTAAGTTACTAAAGGCATAAGTCAACTATTTGCTTATTCTTCTCCTTTTCCTTTTTGCTGTTATTAATATTGTTTAAGAAATATAGGAATATGT